AGGATATAGTGTTTTCATGCTAGCACAAAGGACTCCCAACCCAGAACAATTGTGTTTGTAAAGAAAAAAGTCAGCTATTTATTCTACAAAAGCAGGAACAAATTCTAGCTGGCCAGAATTATATTCAGAAGGTGCAGCTGCAATTATTCTGTGCTTTACTCCCTAGAAAGAACTTTTCTGGAAATGTGGAAATCCAGGATTCAATAGAATGTTAAATGGCAAAGTAATCCTGACAGCAATCAGCAGCATCTAAGTGCCAAACTACCAGCAAACACTGTACATTAAGAACTGTCTGATTCAACCTGAGCTCACCTATCAAAGCATCACAAAGCCATTATTTAAAATTAAAAGTCCCAACAGCTCTTCTCTTGTTAAAATGTTTTAGGCAATAGTGTTTCTCTAACGCAGTGAAGGTGACCATGTATCACATTTATCTCTTCGATTTCATGCTCTGCTGGAAAAAAACTGTCCAACCCAAGTCCAGTTTAAAGACAATGAACCATATGAAAGAAAAGCAGGGAGAGGCCTTGAAGTTGCTCATCAACAGCAGCTATGGGCATGAGAGCTGAATGAAAAGGCAACACAGCTCATCTACAGAGCCTTGCAGAAGCATCCCCCCACCGACTTTTAAATGAAATTGACTGAACCTGCATTGTTACCCATTGATGTACACAAGATACTCAACACTATGAAGGGGCAAAATATTTTTTCTCTGGCACTAAAATTAAGTAAATGAAGTATTCTGTCTAAAATGTGCACCTACCTGCAGGAATTAGAATATACTCATCTTATGCAAACTGATATCCTCTTTTGCCCTCTTCTTTGATGAAGCATTTTAATTTTTCAGCAATGTATAAGTGGTGGCTCTTATAACTGTTTAAACTGCTTGATTATATGCTTTCTGGAAGAGGGCCGTCTGCCAAATTAGCCAGAGGAATCTAGAATCCTGTCTTGAGCAGATAGCAATTCCTGTGAACTTAAAAAAGTTCTTCCCCATGGATTGTGTTTATTTTAAAGATATCTCAAGGCCCCTAATATGTTAACAGTGGCAGCTGTTAAGAAATAGACCTGAATAACAGATTAAAACATTGAATGCCCTTGGACTGAACCTTTTACTTGCATGAAAATTCACTCAAGTCTTTAAAAGCAGTAGAGGAAATCTGTTACAACATTTTTATGTGGTTTGTTGCTTTAATAGCAAAGGGTTGCACAACCAAATATTCAGAACATAAATATCCTCATTGTCCATGTAAAGCTAGCATGTCAGGGAAAGGGGTTCAGATGTAACCTTGCCCTTCAAATGGCCAAGGAATAATTTGTAAGGGTGTGGAATATTCAGCTATGGCATCTCAGAACTATGCCAGTTTAATGTAAAATTAAAACACCTTCTGGGATGGACCTGCCTGGATCCACTTGGCACAAGTACAGTGGTACCTTGGCTCACAAACTTAATCCATTCCATGACTCCGGTTGTGACCCAAGCCAAATTTCCCCATAAGATTCAATGTAAATAAGGTCAATCCATTCTGGCCCCTCTGAATGTGGTTGTGAGCCAGTTTTTGGTCTCAAGCCAGGTCAAATTTCCCCATAAGGTTCAATGTAAATAAGGTTAATCTGTTCTGTAACTATTTTTAATCAGAAAAAATTGAAACAAAGAACAACAAAGTAACAAAGTACTGTACTGTACAGTACAGTAGAAAACACTAACCTAGGTGGGGGGGAGGTTATTGTTTTGAGGGAGAGTCTCCCTCCATAAGGACACTGGGGAGATCTCTTTCAGGGGTTTCCTCCTTTCTTTGACTCTTAGCTGCAGGTCAATTTTGGTGAAAAATCTGTCTATAGTCACTTGTTTTTTCCTGCGCTGCATAACCCTCTGGAAATGAAAGACCACGTTACTGTTCATCAGAATCAACACTCTGTTACAGTTACGTTGGGGTGCTGCTTCTCAAAGAAATCCTGGCACGGGCGCACTCCTGCAGGAAAGACAGGCGCAGCACAGCTGCGATCACGCACGTCCTCCCTGCATGAACGCGACTGCGATCGTGGCCATCTCCCCACTCAGGGGAGGTGGGGAGATGGCTGTGATCTTGATCGCCACCCAATGCGGAGTTCGCAACCCAAGTCAAAATGTTTATGAATTTTTTGTTTGCGACCCAATTTGGTCATGAACCAAGGCGTTCCTGAGCCAAAGTACCACTGTACTAGCCCCCAGATAATGTTTAGAACAAGAGCACAAAGTACTCTTAATCTATGCAAAGCCCTGCCAGCAAGAACCAGGAATGGGAAGAGGAGTGATGGAGATTCTCACAGGTTCCTACTAGAACAGATTTTGTTATTTAATTCTAGGCAGCCTATTTTCACTTAGTTACTTGGCTGACGGTGGGGATGAAAAGAGACACTCATGGATCCAGAGAGTCCACATCTTCTCTTCTCCACTCCGCTCCCTTCCCTCCTTACCAGCCCACTGCCTTTCCACCATCCTTCTTCCAATGTCAGGAAGCTCTGCAGCAGTTCTACTTTCAAGGTCGCAACAATGACCTCAGAAACTGAGCAGCTGCACAGCTATCTACAACAGCTGGAAATAATTTGTGGGAATCCTAACTCAGACCCCACTCCCTGCCCCACTCTATGCTGTACTGCTTTTTGCAGCTGGGGGTGAGGAAATCTACCATATTCTATGACCCCAGGAAAGTGTCTCAGGGTCAGCAAGATTGCTCTGCAAACTCATTTATCTAGGGGCCCAGAGGTTCCAGTGCATACCCAGACCTTCCCCACCTGTTACTGGTTTCCTGGTAGGCTTTCCCAAGTACACAAAACTATTTAAACTAGCAGTAAATGCGTGATTCATTTCTTTGAAGCTGGGAAATTATGAATGTGTATTTCTTTGAATATTATCTGTATTGATAGACTGGGGAAACCTATATGCTTATCAGCCTCCTGCACAATTAACCAATGCATGCAAATGTTTCCCTGTCTCAAGTAAAGATAACATTTTAGAAGCTGGCCCTATCCCCAGCCACACCCATGTCCCAGCCTTCTGTTCTCAGACCTGACCCTACAGCCACCTCACCATATAAATTATTATTTGTGTCAGTCAATCTGTGCTTTCTGTATTGTATTTTAAATAAGGGATTTGGGGACATCCAGTTTAATGTTAAAGCACACAATTAGCTTCTGGGCCACAGGGCAAGGATTTGGGGTCAAAGGTGCAGGGTCCATATGTAATCCAGCCCAGTCTCCCCAGACCACCAAAGCCCATAAGTCACATGGCAGGATGTTGTCAGTACACTCAGACATACTTCACATTCAGTTCCTTGGCTTCCAAATCATATTGCTGTCTTGGGCCATGGGAAAACTCTAGTTTCAAAATGGGGTTACACAAACAAAAATGTTGACAACCAGTTGAATAAATTCACTTGCAGAACTAGAATTATTAAACCAGCTTGAATGCAGTTAAATTGATAGCACAAAAAGACTTTTATGGTACCAGCATTTCATACAGGAGCATAATGAAAACAAGCCTCTAAATCGGGAATTATACATTGTATACTTATTTTTTTCTGGATGTAAGTAACAAAAAGAACCATATATATAGAAAGACAGAATCAGGCATCTCTCATACAAATTTAAGAAGAGTTGCATGGAAATTTGTTCATTTTAAAATCTTAACTATCTTAAATCAAGAGTAAAATACAGGAATAATCTGCACACACATTCTGTCTCTATACACACACACTCATATATATGAACTTAGACTGGATGACTCATCGAGATATCAAAATAGTTGGGTTATTTCTACAATAGCTCAGAAGTCAAAATTAGCCCAATATACCTTAATTACTATGTGAAATGAAAATACAGTATTTTGGTATCTAATAGTTAAAAGGCATGCAGACTCCATCAAACATTCCAGCAGAGAACAAGCCAATGAACACATACAATGAAATACAGGTGTGTATGTGTGGGTGTTCATACACCTGATCTGCCCTTAGACTAAGAGAGGGGGGATTCACAGCAACAGCCAGGAACATGAGTTGGGTAACAGGGAAAGCCGTACATGGGAAATAATGGAATATTCTGGCCACAGATTTTAACTATTGCCAGACTGCAAGAATGTAGTTTTTCAGTGGCAACCATAAATTTTATAAATAAATATGCATGTCTACTTGCAGAAAGAAAGCTCTGTTGACAAGACTGTAATGAGTATACATAAAGGCATCTGTAGAATGGTTCAATCAGTGGTAATTTCATCTGCAAAGTGTTGACTCAGAAGCATCCTCTACTACAAGGTTGTGTTTTCAAAGTGAGTGCTACCAGAGCCAATGTAGAGTGAACCCAAATTGCTGGAACAGCTTCTCCAAGAGCACCTCTATCTTGTCTGGATTAAACTTTTGTTTGTTAGCCTGTGTCCATGAAATGTAATGAGACAGAAAGGAGGAGGTCTGGGTGTCATTTCTGGGTGTCTGAAGGACCTCTCCGAACAATTTTATGGAGATGTTGTAAGCATGAAAGACAAGACAGAGATACCATGGGTTAATCACAGAGATACCATGGGATGCTACACAGATCATAGAACTAGTCTTCTAAAATTGCCCTCTAGGGTACTCCTAAGTCATTGTAGTACCATGCCTTCAAGTCCCATCCTTGTGAGCCAGTTCAAAAGGACACCCTGGTTGATGGTATCAAAAGCCACTGAAATGTCCAGTGGGACCAGGTGGGGTACACTTTTGCTATTCAGTTCCTGGAATAGGTCATCCACCAAAGTGACTAAGGCTGTTCCAGACCCTAAAGCCAGTCTGAAATAGATCTAGATAATCATTTTCATCTAGAAAATTCTGGAGTTGACTTACATTTAAAGTAACGAATCATGAATGAACACCCATTTAAAGCAATGGATAAATGCGGCCAACTTCAACTAGATTAATGGCATTATTCTAAAAGAGTATCTTTCCATATGAACCAAGACCATGTTCAAATGCAAGCCCTTTAAACAAGGTCACCTGATAAATTCCACGGTGTAGTACTGAATGGGGGAACTTCCTTCACTGGGTCCTGGTTTCCAAGACAAAGCAACTTCTGAGTCAGAAACAACGATAATTTGAGGCTGAAGAGGTGGATCAGGAGGCAAGCATTTATCTAAGGCCAAAAAAAAAAAAAAAAAAAAGTGCCGGTTTATAGCAAAACTGACATATTGACATCAACAGTCAATTTGGAAAAACCCAGATTTGTTTCTCATTGTATCAAACTCATTTATAAATCTAAAATTTTATATTACATTATGCACCCTCAACATCTCACCAAATTGTCTTTCTTGGTTCTTTTTGATTCTAGCACCAACCCCTTTTATTTCTCAAGGTCTCATGGTTACTGTACAAGGTTGTTGTTGAAGGGTAACGCAAATGCAAAGGACCAGGTTCAACCCCAAACATCTCTGGATAAAGTTGGGAAATAGGCCTGCTAGAAGCCCTGGAAACTCACTGCTGCTCTGTGAAAATGCTGAAGTAGTTAGTCTAATTGTCTGACAGAAAAGACACGGCCTTTCCCCTGCAAAGCAATGGCTCTTTCTCTCCAAAGGTGGGCCAGTTTGTCAATTTTGGATTTTCTCAATTTTAAAATTTTTTTCAGTCTTCAGTTCATCCCATCCTCTTTCTGCATTCATTTGTGACTTTTTAAAAAGGTTGCTCAAAATGTGTATGCACTTTAAACCCCTTTTTTCCAAATATATGCATATCAGTACAGTTTTTCCATATACATGCACACAGAAGCACACATGCTTTGCAAGAAGTCCCCCCCCCCCCATATACCGTTCAAAAAGGCAAAAGTGTAGAAGTCTCGGTGCATGAGCACATTAAGGCACAATCACAAGCATTGCAGACTCAGTGATCCTAAGTCACCGGACACCGAGGCATATGATCATCCTATGAAGAGTGGCAACAATGGCAAAGGCAATCTTCACCTTTCTGTCACCTTCACCTTCCTCACCACACATATTTCACTAGATGGGATTTTTATCCATCTAGTTTGAGCATTTTGGAAGGTGAGGGAAGGAGGCTGGAGACACCTCAGTTTAACTCAGATTCTGGCTTTTCCAGTCACCTCCTCTCCCAACAAAATGCTTCCTTCTCCAAGGACAAAATTCCAAATTCAGGGAGTAGCTGGTGTGGTTCTTCACACACTGGATGCAAGAGGGAGAGGGTCAGAGTGCCAGTTCCCAGCTCTGAGGTCAGGATGCTTTCTCCAGCCTTGGAGTTAGGAATCTGAACTATCCTACAGCTGCTCAAATGCTGCCTTGGGGCATATGTTTGTTCCCCTACTTAGAGAACATGCATATTTACCCCAAAATACATAACACTATTTTGTGGAACTTACTGCTAGGTAGGTGAATTTAATATTGCAGCCTAAATGTTTCTGATGGATACAAATAGATTTGGATCCTACACCTTAAGATTAACTGGGTTGTGGGCTAGATACTACTTTAGCCAACCTTGTCTGTGAGAAAGATAGATGATCGTATAGGTATGGCACACAGAAAGTTTTGTGGGCTAGAAATTATCTGAAGTAGAAGAAATCTTCAAATGCCCTTGTAGAGACTTTTCAAGGCAGTTCACATGGCACTAAGCACGCATATTGGGCTGTGTTTATCCTTCTGAATCTTTAATACTGCTGACTGCTTTGCCATTGCAACTACATCTTGCCCTCTGACAAGCAGCGCCTTTGAATTTTTCTCTACCCCATCTATGATTTGCACATTGTGCACAGGTTTTCTGGCTGTCTCCATGTGTCTACCTGCCAGAAAAATGAAATATCTGGGATTAACTCTGTCCCATTTGAAACCCATAATGAAAGCTATTCACGCAGCTTTTACCTTGTGATAAAGTTGTTACATTTCTGGGCATGCTGGGCCGGCCCTTTCCTGCCCAGCCATAAGCACCTACGCTTACACGATGGAGGGTACCTGGCTTCAAATCTCCAATTACCACATCCTGTTAGGGGGAGGAGGGATGAAAAGGAGTGCAGAAGATTAACAAAAATAAAAAGCAGAAAGATAAATTACTGTTTAGTTTCATATAAGCAACATTTTGTGCAGTCCAGCAGGGTTAGAAAAAAAGCCCTTTTGTCAAACATGGATATAACACTGAGCATGGATTACTGCTAAAAAGAGCAATCTCATGTTGAGCATTTCTGGAGATGTAGAGACCGCCCTTCAGCATAAGCTCCAAGGGCAGAACACAGTTAAAAAAATGAAATGTACAATAAAAACATTCATAGTAAAATATGAAACAAGGAAAAGCAGAAACCAACAATAGACCAATAGCAATGAAACACCAATTAAAATTATTGGATATGATGAAATGGCTGAACTTGGCACTGAAAATTTGTCAGAGTCCCAAGTGAGCTGTAGCCCTCCAAACTCAAAAGATTACAAACATCTTATATCGGGATGGAAAAATGCAGAAGCAATTATTGTGCCCATACCTGTCCCACTCTGTTAAGCTTATTGACATCTCTCTAGACTACCCAAAAAACCCTTCTTTAAGGTTTGAGCTCAAAGAAACAGACTACATATTTGTATTTTATTTCTATTTATTTGTATTTTATATTACACTGTGAACTGCTCAGAGAGCCTTTGGCTATGGGGTGGCATATACATTTGATAGATAGATAAATACATAGTTCTTTCTATACCAGAACAGATCTCCAGCTACAAGGACAGACAATTTTTCAACCATATAGCTGGGAACCTAAAACTTCGAGATGCTGTCTACCAGCGATAAGATTGTACGGCTTGCGATTTACTGACCCAAAATGTTTAAACCTACTGTTAAAAATACATGTGTAATACAATGCAGCATTTCAACTTACAGTAAAGGTAAGATTAAGAAGAAAAACAAACAATGAAAACCATAAAAGAATAAAGTATTTTTGCATACATTTTCTAAAAATATACACATTTGTATGTGTATTTTTGAAAAATATGCATTTAATGCATTTTGTTCTAAATCTATGCCTTTTGGAAAGCTGCTTTTGTGAACTACATTGCAAATTTCAGAAATGTATGGATGTTGAAGGCAAACTGTGAACTGAAGAAACTACTCACCCATCTGCAGTGGCCAAGGCGGTCCTTTAGGTAACTACACCTCTTTGCAATGTGTACGGACCTGCAACTTTCAGTGTCATTGCAATGTGTGTTCTCTTGCTCCTTGCACCAGCTACAAATATGGAGTAGGGTGTGAAAAGTATGTGATGAGTTTACAACCTGTCCCCTCAGTGGTTTTGGAGGGGAGATATTTTAAGATGCTTATGGCAGAGAGGATTTGCCCTGTAGTGCCGGAGAGGTTGGAAAAAATCAACATGTTTTCTTTTCCTGTTGTTTTTTATCAAGAAATATGTGCCAAGTTTATTTCTTCTCTCCTTAGAAGGTTGCCAGGCAGATCTGATGCTGAGGTTGCTAGGAAGCTCCTTATAGGCATCCATGTGCAGTCAACTGTTTGTGCAAGGTTTTTTGCAGCTGCTTGTAAGAGTCACAAAGATACAATATGTAATGTTTTGACATTTTCTTTTTTTAAAAAATGTAACAGGTAATTTTAAACCATTTCATATTATTTGTTTATTGTCATTTTGTCTAATTAAGAAATAAAATATTTTAATCTATGGTGTCACTTGTATATTGTCTATAATGAATGAGCTGGTTTTCAACCATAATAAACAACTGTTTTGTTGTTGCTGTTGTTTACAATCTGCATTTCCTTAACTACACATTATAGCTAGAAAGAATTCAAGGTTGCTGTTGTCAGTAGCAATCAGATGGGTATCATGTGTGTTCCAACTTCTGATTGCTATTTTGTCAAGGAAGCCCCCTTAGCATTGGGAGGCAGAACTGAAGACCTGGAATGAAAATAAGGCCCTTGACAATCCCAAGCTACACTTCAGAAGGCCACTTCCTCTTCCCATGGGCCTTCTCCTTTTCTCCAGCCATCTCTTCCTTGGTGGCTTCCCAGATCTGCTGCAGTATTTTTCCATTCTAAAAATCAAATTGCCACTCCAAATAATTAGTTTTGCTGTTGTTATATACTGTCAAGTAGCCTCTGACTTGTGGTGACCCTATTAATGAAAGTCTTCTAAAATATCCTATTCATAACAGCCCTGCTCAGCTATTCTAAATTCAAGGTTAAGGCTTACAAAGAATTAGTATTAGTAAAAGCTTTGTATTTTGACTCCACCCCTTTGCATTTGGCCCTGCCCACCACTGGAATATGGCCCCGTGACAGCTTCTCTGAGATGCAATTTGGTCCTCTGGCTGACAAAGATTTGCACTCCTGCCTTCAAAAGCTTGTTTAGCACAGAAACAATAATAAAAACACACATAGCCAAAGTCAAGTATTTTCCTTGGGAAATTCTCTCAAAGGCAAGGTATAAATCTGACCTACACCAATTTCTCAGCACAGTTCAGATTTATGTTGGAAGTCTGTTTGCTGCTCACAGAAGCCTGCTGTTAAAAGCAACATTTCGCAACATCCTCCTACAGCATCAAAAGGCAACTAAGTGCGTGATCTGGTTTAATTTTAAACCCAGAGAGAGGAGAACCTTGCAGCAGCACAAAGTGAAATTCTAACCTCTTCGACGCCCACATGGACACAATGGAAACAGATGTTCTGACATTTTTCCCAAAGAGAACTAAGTTGTGAATTTTAGCTTGTCCTGATAGTCAGGGGTATATGGATAAGGGCCTTGTCCAGCAGGAAAATGCCTTGCGCTGTCTCTGCTTGAACCCAAACAACTAACATCCTTCATCAGCTTTAAACCTGTAGTGAATGGCTACTTCCAAAAAAACGAATACAATATGTATCAGAAAAAGGAGAGGCTTCAGTATGGCAAGAGAAGAGGCAACTCAAGCAAGGCCACCTGGCCTAAAAACAGGCCCCTATGACCATATCCCTATTTCTTGTATATGAAATGGAAATGTTTAATCTTGAAAGATAGGGTGCAGCTGTTAAAGAAGCTAATGTAAACTCAGCCTGCATCAACAGAAGCCTCATGTCCAGATCATGGGGAAGTATTATTTCTGTGCTATTCCGTGCTGGTCAGAAATATTGCATTCAACTTTTGTGCAAAACCTTTAAAGGATTTTGACAAACTGGAGCACATAGGGAGGAGGGTGAGCAGGATGGGTGAGCAGATCTTGAAACAAGGTCCTATGGTTGAAAAACCAGGGCATACTTAGCATGGAAAAAAGATTACTGGGGGGTGGGGGGCACAATGGCAGTCTTCATATATCTGGAGCTGATTTTCTTTCTGTTGCTCTAGGAAATTAGGAGAAATGTCCACCATTCCAACGATGACACCACTGCCTTGCGGGGTGGTAGGCTCTCACTTGTTGGAGAAATTTAAGCAGCGGCTGGATGGCCATCTTTCACAGATGTTATGCACTGTGCACCCTGCTTGGAGCAGATGGTTGGGACTTGGTTCCCTCTAACGTGCTGGATTCAGTTACTTGAATCTAGGATGCTAAAATAGGCTATGTATATACTGGCAT